CAACGAATATTGGGATGGTCCGTCACATTATAACGCTCCCACGGCTGAAAGGGGCAAGCATGTTTGGAGGGACGAGGATTCGAACCCGCGACCCTCAGATTGTGAGTCACGTGCCCTAACCACCTGGCCATGCCGGGCTCTCTGGTCACGAGATGACAGCGCCATAATAATTATTTTTTTAATTCGCAAATGATATTAATGTGTTTGTGTTTGTTAAACTAATGAATGGAGTACTTGAAATTTTTGTATAACATCTTACGACACATGCTGTGAACGATAAATTATACTGTGGAACTAGTAATTATTATTAGTATTTATATTTATATTAGTAATTAATATTAATTGGAAAGGTTTCATTTATTTTACAGTTGAAGAGCAGCTTTTTATACGAGCGAGTGAGATAAATTCATACAACCAGCTGCGTAGTGTAAGGAATTAAAATAAATTTTATAAAATATATCTTAAGTTTATAATATCTCTTCTGGATAATGTTCACCTGGGACTCACAGTTTGAGTAGATTGTTGATACCTAAAAACGCTCCAGACGGTAGATGGCGTATAGCATTTCCAGCTAAAGAACTGCAATAAAAAATAACTAATATAACATGTTTTAAATAGTATAAAACCACCTTTGTAAAGTAATGCAAATATTAGTTTAGATGAAAACTTTATCATAAAATCGGTTTAAGATAATAAAAAATAAATAAAGATGGCGTCTAAAATCGAATTACTGTTAAATACCTAAAGGATTCAGTATAGTTGTGAATTAAAACGTTTGCATTCCATACTAGTTTTTCATAATAATATGCCCCCAGTAGCACAGCGGTATGTCTGCGGACTCACAACGCTAGAAACCGGGTTTCGATATTCGTGGTGGGCAAAACACAGATAGTCCATTGTGTAGCTTTGTGCTTAACTTCAAACAAAAAATCGAATGATATACCCTGATTTCAGGGCCCAGCATGGCCAGGTGGTTAGGGCACTCGACTCGCAATCTGAGGGTCGCGGGTTCGAATCCCCGTCACACCAAACATGCTCGCCCTTTCAGCCGTGGGGGCGTTATAATGTGACGGTCAATCCCACTATTCATTGGTAAAAGAGTAGCCCAAGAGTTGGCGGTGGGTGGTGATGACTAGCTGCCTTCCCTCTAGTCTTACACTGCTAAATTAGGGACGGCTAGCGCAGATAGCCCTCGTGTAGCTTTGCGCGAAATTCAAAACAAACAATATACCCTGATTGATAGATACTCTCACTCATGTGGAACCAAGTTATCTTTCTTTTATAATAACTAAGTTAGATTTAAATAATTAAATGATATTTGCCTTAAATGTCCTAAAACGAGCATCAAAGTTCCTTTTTAATCTAATTCTGAAAGAGTGTTTTTAGAGAGTATAATTACGGTTTTTCTTTACGTTATGTATTCCGCTACCAAATTTACAGCTAAATAGTAACATGTATGGGAAGCCATTTATCTAACTCAACAAATCTGGTAAAGAAACTGGTTTTCATTAGTTACTCGATGTTATTTGGGAGGATGGTTATATAGACATTTGCTTATACTGGTGTCACGCTTTTCTAGAACATTGTAATATTTATTCTTCTTTTATTTATTTTCAATCAGTTTTGTTGTTAAATATGCATTAGTGCGCTTATATATATAAAAGTTTATAATATTAAAATTTTCAGTATTGGTAAACTGTATGGATCTTTGGAGCTAACAACTGGTTTTCACCGGTTTTGTATTTATATAGAAATACATGAGAGAGCATATTATTAATAATACTTTTTTTCAAATAAACAATATGTGTGTGTGTGTGTGTGTTTAGATTGAGTTTGTTTGAAGTAACACACGAAGCTACATAATGGACTATCTGTGTTCTGCCCACCACGAATATCGAAACCCGGTTTCTGGCGTTGTAAGTCCGCAGACATACCGCTGTGCCACTGAGGGGCGTTTAGATTGAGTTATGAGTGAGTCAACTAATTAATTCTCTAGATGATTCTACTGTACCTTCTAATATTTAAACATACATAGTTTGCAAAATTGGCATACAGTTTATAAGAAAAAACTGCATAAAGTTTAATAAACTCCCAGAAGTTATATATATTCACCTAATTCATTTTTAAACAAATTAAACATATACTTCGTGCTGATTTATATATTTTTCCAGGTGTTACAATAAGTCTAAACAACAACAAAAAAACAACTAAAACTAAAACTCGTTAATATACTTACATCGACTTCAATCCGGGGTAGCTGCTAAATGCTCCGCTGGTTAACACTGTTATGTTATTATTAGAAAGCGTACTATAAGCCAAAAAGAAAAAAAATATATATCAGCTGTACAGTGGACCTTAGAAAATTTTATGGTATATTTATGTATTTGTATGTAAAAGGCTTTAATATTTTCCTGATCAAGGTGGGATTTAGATTGAAAAAAGTTATATTTATCTTTTGTTTGGCAAGGTTTATCTGAAGAATAAGGAAAAAAAACTAGCTGTTTGTTAAAATATATTTGGGCTATATAAGCATTTTCTAATTGGATATTACTTTTGATATTATAAAAGGCATTTTTTTTTACATTTTTTCAATTATTCCTCAATATTTAAGCTACTTTATATTCACTTCCTGATTTTTTTAAATAGTGAAACAGAATTTCGTATAGGTCACTAGGTGGCTATTAAATAAACAGCACAGTAACAAACAATAAGGAAGGAATACTCGAGTGCACTGGTGCCATTTCCCCAAGGATGTGAAATTGGCGTAGTTTTTCTAAGGGAGTGAAAATTATAAAAATGTACATAACATTTTCAAGATCAAATGCATAGCAGAAAGACTCGGTATCTGTAAACGTGGTTATTTTCATAACAACGGGCTGGTATAAATTAGCGTAGGAAAATCACCTAGTATTTTTGTTAATTCTCATCAAATCAAAACATCCCGTACATCATCACCAGATATTTTTTTGTATAAATAAATATATTTGGACAAGTTACCAAAGACATAGCTAGATTCTTAATGAAACTATTGACGTCTTTATTATCTGTATTCTAACAGGAATTATAAAAATCATGAGGCAGAAATAGGGCTCATATTCGTTAGTGTTTCCTGCCAAATTCAGCCGTGGTGACGTTTTTCGTTATGTTCACCAAATATTAAAGCTAATACTCAGCCCTATTTAGTCTTGTGATGATTGTAGGTAGCAGATGTTCTCGTTTGACTTTATTAACAGCAATATGTGCTTACACTTCAGTCTATCCATGTTGACCATACCGAACGGTTTTCTTCTTTTGGATAATCGTATACATTCAAAGTACCTTTACGTTCAGCAAGTGCTATTTGTCGAGCACAAGTGAAGTATGATACTTAGAGTAACGTTTTTCGGTTTGGAGTTGGAGTTAGGCAAGTAAAGCAAGGCTGGATCGTTATACAACACTGACACATTTTTATAGCTAATTACAAACAATGATGCTAAAACTTACAGTTTTGTAACGTTGCGAGATATCCCTGCTGGTATTTCTGTCAGATTTAGATCCTTGCAACTTACAGCCGTAAGACGGGAACAAGTACAACCCGCTGGAACAACTGGTAATTCTGGAAACAACAAACTTTGGTATCAAGTCACGCTAGAGTAGTATCTTCATTTCACGTATTGGTAAGCTATGTGGATCAGCAAACAACTGTTTTCACACGTTTCTTGAGTATGACTCCATCCTTTAAGGTTAATGTCATTGGTGTTATTGAGTTAGAGCACTTAAACGTGTTAAAATATAGTAGCTTTGAATAAGCTAAGAAGAGTGCTCTGTTTAGATTATTAAAGTTGGCGGGAGGGATTAAGCAATAGCGATTTAATGGAATGCTATTATACATAAATATATATTTAAGAAAACTCGAATCCGTTCTTTTTCTACCAAACTGTTCTTTATTTAATCAGATTTCAGAAGATTGTTTTGTTGATTTCTGGCTTTTATATCGAAGAGTAGCGAGTGATGTTTTGCAACTGGTTAAATAAAGAGGAGTTTGGTAATAAATGAAAGGATTTGGGTTTTCTTATACCTATTCATCTTGAAGTGAAACCCCCTTGAATTACACTTGTTATGTTATTCTTTTTCTAAGTATTGATGGCGTTTAATATACATTTTCACCACTGACTAATAAAACCTAAACCTGAGCTGACAGCAAATATAACCACATTTCTTGAAGTTCAAGATCCCCCGTATAGCAACTATTTACATGTTTGACAGTGAAGAGAAAGCGTATAAACAAACAGGCAAAATAACCACCTGAAACGTTTTTATGGTTTCTGTGAACAATAAAAAAGTACTTAAAACATAATTCATATCAAGTTTTTTAATCTCTAAAATTGGTATTCAAAGTGTCTCCACGTTAGACAATAGGAAACTAGAGAGCATCGAGTATGTAAAGACTCGAAGATAACGTTATTGTTGCCTTAAAACTGTGCGGGAGAATTACTGTTTTCACCAACTAAAACACAAAAGAAAATAAAGAATAAAGGAGATTAAGTATTTGAACTTTTTCTTACACCACAGATTCTGAATTAAAACACATTAAGTTTAGGATATTTATCTGTTAAGTATAACTTCACGTATAAAACACAGCTTACCACAGACGCTGGTGTATGGATGGGTTGTGGTATTGAATATTGTTTTCAGGAACAAAACAGCACTCCCAAAATAGTCCACTAAAAACAACGTAAAAATATTACTTAATCCGTCCATTCATGTGAAACATTTCTTACGTGTTTTAGCCTCTCGTAACTACTACTTAATCCGTCCATACATGTGAAACATTTCTTACGTGTTTTAGCCTCTCGTAACTACTACTTAATCCGTCCATACATGTGAAACATTTCTTACGTGTTTTAGCCTCTCGTAACTACTACAAAGTTAAGAAATATGGGAAAGAAGCTACGTCTGTTTTACTCTTTGTACTGTGGTGACTATCGTAGCGAATATGTTGCTAAATCCTATCCTGGCTTTAATAATAACCAGCTTATTATCCAATGGTTTAATTAGAGCTTACTTGATTGACTATGTAACTTCTCCAAGGATATGACTAATTTTCAGGTTTGAAAATCCCACATCACATGAAGTTAATGAAATACACATAGTACATGACAATATAACCTTCAATGCTTTATGTTTACATAACCGATTGTTAAACTTCTGCTATACCTAAATACATATAAATTTGAAATGTAGTGTAATTTTTATTTTGTCATATATATATATAGGATGGAATGTTGTAAGTAGTACTAATAGGCTAAATTAAAGAAGCTTTAAAACCAATTGGCTAATCGATGACTACTGATTTTATCCTTTTTTTTTACCTGCTTCCTAGTGAGCTAATATAGGTGTTCATGTGTAAATCAGAGAAATTGACGATAAAACCTTCTTTGTTCTGTATAAATAATCTGATTACTTAATTAAAGAACGAGCTATGAACTAAGGTTTAAATTTAACATAGACAGTAGAGCATCCACATTTAAATCTAGTTATGACCCAAGGTTTAAATTAATATATAGCATCCACACTTAAATCTAGTTATGAATTAAGGTTTAAACTTAATACAGTCAGTAGAGCATCCACACTTAAATCTAGTTATGTACTAAGGTTTAAATTTAACATAGACAGTAGAGCATCCACACTTAAATCTAGTTATGAATTAAGGTTTAAACTTAACAGAGCCACTAGAACATCCACACTTAAATCAAGCTAAAAATTAAGTTTTAAACTTGAAATCTCCAGTTTTGTTCACTTAGTTTTCATGAGAAAGATGTGGAGGTGTTCTTGATGGCTAGAGATTTGTTTTTTGTATTTTTTCCCAATGTTTAATCCTTATTTTTTTATAACTGTGAACAAAAGGGTAAGTTTGTTTTATAACAATAAAACTTCACATAAATGATAGCAATTTATACGTTACGATCAGGATGACATTTTTTGCTATTGAAATATTGTGAATATAATGTGATAAAACGCTGAAGTGTTTAATGTTATTAGAATAATGCATTAAAAATGAAATACTATATGACGAAATAACTTAGCCTTCCATTTTTTTACACTGTGATGTGATATACGAGAAGACATACCAACCAAAAGTGATCTAATTCAGTTAATTCTTCTACGGAGAATTACTATCAGCTATACATAAAGAACATTGATGTACATTAAAATGTTGAAATATAACCTGTCGTATGTGTGTAAAACATTCTCATTACAACAATTACTCACATCAGAAAAGTTCCAATATTTTTTTATATTTTTCTCTTTGACATAACAGAAACTCAGGCGTAGTAAAGACATTTCTCTTATAACTAAATCAAATCATTAGAAATATAAGGAGATTTATTTTTAAAATACATTTAACGGTGGGTTTATGGATTTATAATGCTAAAATCCGCGGTTCGATTCCCAGCAGTTGACACATAAAATAGCCAAATGTGGTTTTTGGCCTTAAAACAAAAAGAACAATTATATCAGTTTCTTTTTCTTAATACCGAACTAATTAGTTTCCTTAAGTTACTTAACTGTTACTTGTATTCAGCATCAAGGGTTATATGTTACAGTGTAAAACACCTGAAATGTCAAAGTAAGAATGTTATTTGGAACATCACGCTAGATAATTGTTGGTTTTTCTATCAGTATTTTAGCTAGTCTACTACTGATTTCAAACTGAAGATGTATGAAAGTAGCATGCTGTTGAATTAGTAACTTAAAGCAATTAAAAGATTATACATTAACTTTACTTGATGGTCATCTATTCGAACTGTTGATATGAAAGTCCTCCGGTGAGACTAGAGCCGTATGCTATGACAGAAAACGAAATAAAAATATAGAAAATTCTTGCGTGTTTCTAGTTTAAAGTCACTAATGACCTGTCCAAATGGATTTCGAATATTTATTATTATGCTAGTTTAGACTTTTCCACACACTAACAATTATTATTCATAAATAGGAACGTCAACCCTGAACTAAGAAATAAAGAAAAGACTTACAACATTTCCAAAAATTTTCGTCTTAACACCACCACTTTTGCTAAGCAAGTTAGCAAGTATCGTTTCGTTTCTTAGATTACCTTCGAAGTTGGTGCGATGCGGGTGAGTTTGCCGTATGTCAGAACAAAAGCATATGCCTTGAACGAAGTCGCTTTTGCGACGGGATCTCAGACTGTCCTGATGGAGACTTGATACTGATTGTAGGTTAATGTATTAAAGTGGTGTTCTAGATACTGACTGTAGGTTAATATATTAAAATCTATAAGATAATAATCTTTGAATGCTCAAAAAAACGAGAACTTTCAGAAGAAATTGAAGAAGCAACTACAATAAGAACTGAAGTGTAAAGTATACTAAAAGAAATCGCGTTGGTACAGGCAATATATGTAATAGACAGTGATATATGTGGCTTTTTCTTTTTAAACTTTTCACAACCTATTTTTAATGTATGACAAAAGTATTCAACTTGCCATGCTTTGTTGTAATTTGTACAAACAACCAAACTCATAGTCAACATTGATATAACACAACGAACATCGGCTCGTATATAATGAAAATGTAAATGTCTTTTACTTATAATAAATAACAATGGATAAGTGCAGATTCATGTCAGCAGAATCGGTGTTTTGGGATGAGAATCATCATTACTATAATTCATAATAGGTAGAGAAAGGAAAAATCCAAAAAGAGATTATTATTATTATTATGTAGATTTGGAAACTACCCCTTATTAAGCTAAAAAGACTGTAATGGAATCACATGTTTGATCTAGAGTACTTGAAAGAATTGAAATAAGCTTTAATAAGCTCGGAAGAGAGTTCTGTTTATATTATCCAAGTTGATTGCGGACTAACAATATCGACTTAATTAAATATCGCTAGATACTGATGGGATGATATTAGGAAACATAATTAGAACATTGAAGTGTTAGCTAATATAGCACATTTACACTGGTTAAGTCAATTTTGTTCACCTACTGTCGAGAATGGAACCAATAAACACAAAGAAACTCATCAAGAAATATATAATTTACCCTTAGCTTATCACCGGGCGCTTTGATTTGACACAATATATATAGAAATGCCCGGCAAGATAACTGAATTCTATAGGAACCCAAGTAAAAGACGGAAACCAAACACGAGATTCTGTTGCAAATTAATACAACGAGGAAATCATAGATATTAGGTTTTTGTTATAAACTGTTAGAATAAAGACGTTTGATATACGAAATATCGTTAATAGATTGCTACAATGAGACCAAAGATAGTGTCATAAGCTGATACGATTAAAAAATTAGATAGAGTATATTGTTACAGACTGTTGTAATAAGAAAGCTTGAGATACGAGGCATTATTATAAG